ATTCCTTTCCGGGTTCGTGGGTCGATCATGTTTCGCTCCGGGACCCTCAGGGGCCGCCGCGCGCGCGCGACTTAGAATATTGTTAAGTTGTCACCGGGGATCTTAGCACCCCAGACCCCCGACGTCATGATTTTTTCATGACGTCGACCCCCCGAGGTCTCGACCCATTCCCCGGGACCGGTTTTTCGTCCTGAGTTGTTTTTTGACGATCCCGAGGGCTGGTAAGGGCCCCCAAAGGCAAAAAATATAGAAAAACCTCCCGTCGGGATTTTTTCATAACTCGAGGGGGTCTGGGACGCCTCTGGCCCGTTGGGCCGGCTTTTTTTTTTTTGTTCCATTGGAACGGCTCCAGGGCCCCAAGACGGCCCAAGAGGGCCCCAAAACAGCCCAAGAGGGCGCTACGCCGGCCCCAAGAGAGCCTCTCAGATGGTCTCCGGACGGTCCAAGAGAGCCTCGGGTGAGATCCAGAGGCTCTCAAGACCTCGAGAGGGCCTGAGGAGGCCCAGATGGGCCCCAAGAGTGCCCCCAGAGAGTACCAAGATGGCCCCAAGATGCTCCCAAGACCAAAGTATTGTTGTTCAGTTGAAGTGTACAGTTTTTTCGGGTTCTCGCTTTTTCGGGCCCAGATGAGCCCAAGACGGCCCAAGAGGCCCCAAAGATAGTGCCAAGACGGCCCCAGAGGCCCCGAGAAGGATCGGAAAATTGTCCCAGAGGGCCCCAAGACGGCTCCAGAGGGCCCCTTCACGGCGCAATAGGGCATCAAGATTGCCCCAAGAGAGCCCCAAGATTGCCCAAGAGGCTTCCAAGAGGGCCCGAAGAGGCGGTCTGGGGACTGGGCTGCTTGGGTGTGGGGACTTGGCTGGCCCCAAGACGGCCCAAGAGTCCCATAACGGTCCAAAAGGGCCCCCAAAAGACTCCCAAGAAGCCCCAGAGACGCTAAGTAGCACCATGGCTTCCAACAGCAAGCGGTGACGTAGCAAGCTCTGTACACCAAGGCTCCCCAGAGCGCGGTGACGTAATAAGCTCTTAACAGCAAGGCTCCCAAGAGCGAGCGGCAACGCAAAAGTCCCTGAACACCAGGGCTCCCAACAGAGAGGTGACGTAACCAGCACTTCACACCAAGGCTTCCCAGAGCGAAGGGTGCCATGAGCCATCTCGGGCAAGTTCCCGAAGCGTTCTTTCCGTCCCCGCGCTGGCCCAGGTAATGGAAAGAGCGAGGTACGAGTGATGACGTTCTTGGGGTGCGAAATCCTCTGGGAGGGGTCCAGGGGAGGGGCGAGGCGCGCCCGGATGGGATGTAATGGCCAGCTTTCCCTTGTATTTCTTCGAGTAAAGCGGCTCCAGGGCTGCTCCCATGGCCTGTTTCTTTGTATCCGTAAGGGCTTCGCCCCCTGCCGCCGGCCCCCTCTCTCGGAGAATGGGCCATGGAAGAGCTAAGTCATGAGGCCTTGGCGCTGTCGTGAAGCAGTATCGAAACTTCATGCGAAGCCGATTCGCAATCAGCAAAACCAACTGATCACAAGAGGGGTTACCACACCTGGCGATTGGTAAGACGTGTATGGTTTACGGGCTTGGTTACCACACCTTGCGATTAAAGGGCCGAGGGAGTTCTCGCAGTTTGGGTTACCACGCCTTGCGATGGATGTGCGTGAAGGGTGGCACCGAATTTCAGAAATGTGGCAAATCCCCTGTGTTTTTGGACCCTGACCCCGCGGATCTGCGTGAAGGGGTGGCGCCGAATTTCAGAAATGTGGCAAATCCCCTGTGTTTTTGGACCCTGACCCCGCGGATCTGCGTGAGGGGTGGCACCGAATTTCAGAAATGTGGCAAATCCCATGTGTTTTTGGACCCTGACCCCGCGGATCTGCGTGAGGGGTGGCACCGAATTTCAGAAATGTGGCAAATCCCTGTGTTTTTGGACCCTGACCCCGCGGATCTGCGTGAGGGGTGGCACCGAATTTCAGAAATGTGGCAAATCCCATGTGTTTTTGGACCCTGACCCCGCGGATCTGCGTGAGGGGTGTCGATTTCGAGCCCCCCCAGCAATTCAGACAACGCGCCCAGGAGACGCTAAAAATCTGGTTTGGGCCTCCCCCCCCCTCGCGCGGTCAATCAACTAGTTACAGTAACCAGCAAGAAGCAGAACTGTAACACTGGAAACTACAAGCTACAACTGGTACAGGAAACTGCGAACCTCGCGCCTACAGCCTGGTGGCCCCACAAGGGGGCCGGCGGATTTTTTGATGGAGCGGCCAGAGGGCCCCAAGACGGCCCGAGAGGGCTCCAAAACGGCCCCAGAGGGCCCCAAGACGGCCCCAAGAGAGCCTCAGATGGCCTCCAATCGGTCCAAGAAAGCTTCCAGACCGGGGCGCCGTGGCGATTCCCGGCCCCGGGCGTCCCCGCGTTCACCGGGAGGACGCGGCCGCCGGGCCCCCGGAAGAAGGCCCGGCGATGGGGACGAGGAGGGAGAAACTCAGCTGCACGTCAGGCCTCTTTTCTCCTCCTCCTCCTCCTCCTCCTCCTCCACCTCCTCCTCCACCTCCTCCTCCTCCTCCTCCTCCTCCTCCTCCACCTCCTCCTCCTCCTCCTCCTCCTCCTCCTCCTCCTCCTCCTCCTCCTCCTCCTCCTCCTC